ATATATACTATATGAAATTCACCATTCAAAGTCCACTTATATCCTTCATTATACAGTTGACCTCTTTTACCTGATTGGCTCACTCCCCTTCTTTCCTATCTGGTTGACACTATTTGGATTTAAAATCTAAATATTTATTTTTGTTTTATTCAGGTAATTTGTTTGTTTTTTCTATATATTATGTGAGTGAAATCATAGGATACTTGGCTATCTCTGACTGACTTAATTCACTCAGCATAGTTACTACCAGTTAGAACACCCCTGATGCAAGAACTATTATCTTGTAAGAGCAGTGATGACAACAAAAATGATATTGACACAATAACTTTTATGGAGATTTAGAATGTTTCCAAGGACTTTTTTTTTTTAAATAAAGATTTACTTATTTGTGCATACAAGAACTGGTGTATAGGCTAGAGCTGCACGGGTTGAACAGAGTGGGGAACAGAACAGGCAGATGGACTGAAATACACTGCTGAGGGGAGCAGCAGGCGAGACAGGAGAGGTCTACCGCACCATGTGGATCACCTCCCTGGCGGGGGTTTGAACTCATGCTGCAGTGGCTGAGGACAGCTTCATAGTACTGCATTTTTTTTAATTTATTTTATTTTATTTTTTAATTTATTTTATTTTTTTTTAAGATTTATTTATTTGTGCATACAGAACTGGGGTACAGGCCAGAGGCTCAGGGGCAGCGAGAGGCTTCACCAGAGACAGAGTGGGGAGCAGAACAGGCAGATCGACGAAGTACACTGCTGAGGGGAGCAGCGGGCGGGTCAGGAGAGGTCTGCCACGCCATGTGGTCACCTCCGGGGCAGGCGGGAATCGAACTCATGAGGAAGCGGCTTTAGATTCTCAGCGCTGTGCTTTAACCCGCTGCGCCACCAGGGAGGGCCCATAGTACTGCATTTTAACCCCCTTGTGCCACTAGGGAAGGCCTCATTTCCAGGGACTTTTAAGTTAATTTATCACTTATAATCCTTATGCCTCTGAAGAACATATTGGGTAAAATTGTGTGGCACTGAAAATAGGATCTTTCAATATCAACTTTGACTCTGATGGCTTTAGAATTATTGGGCCACTTCACTGTAAATTCTTTAGGGGAAGAGGGCTCCAGGGTTATGACAATGTGTCATCATCTTAAATGTTTGCTGCTTTTTCCTTATAGAGCAACAGTGTCCCAAGCTTAACGTTATACCTAAGAGCATTGTTGGCCATAGAGAAATAAACCAATAGTTGCTCTCTTTCATATCTTAGCTATTGTGAATAGTCATGCAATAAACAAAGGAGTACAGTTTTTTTTCTGAAATTAGTGTTTTTGTGTTCTTTGGGTAGATACCTAAGAGGAGAATTGTTGGGTCCTGTAGCAGATACATATGGCTGGCCCAGCTTACCAGCAGTATGTGCGGGTGCCTTTTTCTCCACACCCTCCTCTGCACTTGTTAATTCTGGTCTTTTTAATATGGGTCATATATGCGTGAGATGGTATATCATTGCGGCTTTGGTTTGAATTTCCCTGGTGATAAGTGGTAATGAGAAAAAAATAATAAAAGTTAAGTAAAACAGATTTGTTCATTTATTCAGTTTTGGAGACAGCATTTTGGCTGAAAAGAAATCATTGTCATTTACTGCTTATTTGTGAGCCAGGTGCTGGAATCTTGGTGGTGATAAACAGAAAGTTGCGGAGGTCTTCAGAACATTTTAAAAGTTCTCCAATCCTATTTAATGAAGAGATTACCTAGATTTTCTTAGATCGCATTTAGACCAATAAAGAGAAAGGAAGAATTGGAAAGGGGTGTTTCCTTTGTTCTCTCACACTATTTTAAATTTCACATGTCAATTTGTTTTCCACATACACAAGAACCACCTGAGTGATTAACATTACAGTAAATTAAGCAACTGAAATTCAGGGAAATAATTATTCATAACAGAGGTTGCATTTTGGTAGCTTACAGGCCCACTTTGGTAGCCAGACACCTTTTGTCTAGTTTCCATCATATTTTAACTTTATTTTCCAAGCATCAAAGAACCAAACATCACTCGGAAATCTGTTTTTCTGAGATACTTAAAAGAAACAAAAATGACTTGGTCACACCAGGTCCACATACTTGCAAGTGTTAAGTGTTAGCTCAGAAGTAGCCAAGTGTTCTCATTTAGATACTTCCAGGGTTCTCTTATTACCATAGTTCTTACTCCCCCAGAATTACTGTCATATTTATATATGTTACTTCATTGATTTGATGTATTAGGTGCAGTACATATATGAAGGTGGAATATTTATCCAGAATTAAAATATTAACTGAAGCATATTTTCACTTTCAGTACCATCATTCACCTCATCATTCCCTCTTTTATTCACCTTCAGTGGATACCTTCCTCTCTGCCAGTCATGGAGAACACAGAGAAGTCCATGAGAGGGTCTTTCCTTTCTGGAGCTTAGAGCATGTGGGAGCATAGACAGATAAACCAGCAACTGTAAAATATTGTATGGCTTGTACCATAACTAAGGTTTACACAGGTCACAGAGTGGGCAATTGTTCTAAGGAATGAGTTGGGGATTAAAAAGATTGTTATAGAAGAGGTGATGAGGATGGTTCATATGGGATAATCTAGAGCCTCTTGGGTGATTAGTAAGAAAGGATATCCCAGGAATACAAGATGTGTAAAATAAAATCATGGCCTGGATTTGGAGTATAATATTGTGGGAGTATAATATTGTGGAATCTCTTGGGCTTGAATAGCCTGATACCATGTCTTGTTGGGTTGGGAGAAACTATGTTATGAAAAGGTTTTCCAGTTTCTGTGTTCTCCAATAATAACCACACTTATATCTGGAGTTTTTATGTTTATAAAGCATAAAATATCAAATATTTATAAAATAACCATTTATAATATTTGTAATATTGCAATTCTCCCACAAGAATAGTATCCTTCCACAGATTTAATATGAACATTTTGCTTACTGCTTACTATTAAGATAAGTCAATTTTAGGACCTCTCTAGTGGCCTAGGGGTTAAGTCTCAGCACTATCACCACTATGGCCTGTGCTTGATCCCTGGTGAGGGAACTAACCCATATAGTACAGCACACCTCTCCTGATGCTGCTCCCCTCAGCAGTGTATTTCAGTACATCTGCCTGTTCTGCTTCTCACTCTGTCTCTGATGAGTCCTCTAATCCCTGCCCCCCAAGTACTTCTGGCCTATAACCCAGCTCTTATATACATAAATAACAGAATAAATCTTAAAAAAAATTAATTTACTTTTGTAATTTGGTCATGGCTATTTAGCATTCAAAGAAACAATGTAAACCAACATATTTTCAATGTTAAAATTTGATTTTTAATTCCTACAAGTCTATCTGATGACTTTTTCTTTCATAGGGTCAGGAGCCCAAAGAATCATTCTATAAAAATGGTGGTAATTTGGGAAACACTTATTGTGTATTTATTGATATCTACAACATTGATTTTATTACTATAACATGAGCAATAAAATTAATAACTAAGGAAAAATCACAATGAAAATAACAAAGTTAAATAAATCAAAGTTGTAGATAAAATGAAGCTTTTACATTTTTTAGGATTTTTCAAATATTATTTCTTACCCTATTTATTGAATATCTACTTATGTGTGAATAAGCCTTTTGACATAGACAGATATGGCAATAAAGCTGTTCTGTGAAGAATATTCATTCATTCACTAATATTCTACTTCTAACTTGCTACCATCATTTTCCCCTTCTTCTGAAACATGTAAATATGTACATTCTTCCCTCACTTAAGAAATACTGCCTTTGCTGAAGAAATAAATACAAACTATCTTATTGTATTTGAAATCTCTCTTCTTATTAATTTCTAAAACTGAACAGTATTTTAATCCAGCCTAACTGCAAAAAACTTTGAAACTGGGTTAAAAAGTAGTTTATCTATGAACTGCTTACAGAGAGCACAGGAGTTTTCCTTTGAAAAATGGCATTTTACACACAAAAAATATACAAAACTACTGCAGCATCAACATTATTTCATGAGAAGCCCAGGCAGTATATGACTGCATTCAATTTGCATGCAGGTGGTGAACCTCTGAAGTAGTATTAAGGGATGAACCAGGGTGGATTAATTTCCAGCCTTTGATATTCATTAACTTCAGCTTCAGAAAAAAATACAAGGAGATGACACAATTACCCTCAGAGCTTCACCCGTGAGCAACAGCTTTATAATCTCAAGTTCATAATGCCATCCTAATTGATCAAGAAGGGGCACATACATTTAGTAAGTAGTTAAAAAGTATAGGGGCTTGTCTATGCTATGATGGTACTTGACTTTGGGACAGTCAGTCTCATTCCAGAAATAATTTATAAAATAGTCATCACTTTTTCTCTAAGCTATCTACTTGTCACTAGTTAGCTCTCCATGGTTCTCAAAAATTCTCTGCTTAATTTTGGACTGAAAATAATGCTGTTCAAGATAAAAAGTCTATTTCATTTGAACAAACTAGCATTTAGTGTCATCAGTATATTCTATTCACAGGTCATAAACTCCTTGGAAGAGATAATTCATGGAAACCCTTTCCATTAACAGGAAATTTTTGCATTGGAGGGAAACAGAAGTCATCAGGTTGTTGGCCCTCTTGGTGGTACAATGTGGTTCAAGCGCAGCACCATGAAGCAAGCTGCAGCTGCTTTAGCAGGAGTTTGATCCCTGGCCAGGGAGCTGACCCACATGGTGCAGCACACCCCTTCTATCCTGCCTGCTGCTTCCATCAGTGGTGCACTTTGTTAACCTGCCTGTTCTGCTCCCCACTTAGTCTCTGGTAAAGGCTTTCACCGCCCCTGCATCTCTGGCCTGTACCCCAGTTCTGTATGCATAAATAAATAAAGTCATTGGGTTGTCTCAAGTCACTTCTAGAAAAAGGTAACAGAGGAAGACATAGAATGGGCTCATGAGGACAAGGAATGTGCTCGGAGTGCCTAAGTAACAATGGCTGGCATGAGCTTATTTACCTTTGGAGCTTCAAAGATTTCAGGGTCATTATGTAAGGTTGGAGGAAAGACGGCTAGCATGTCTCCCTTTCGTAGGCGGTAGTCTCCGGTCTCTGAGTGTATAGTCATATCTTCAAGAACATAACGCATGATGCTTGAAAATGAACATAGTCGTAGAACCTCCATAATGGTGCTTTCTGAAGGAAACAAGCAAACAATTTATTAAAACAACTGTTCTAACAAAGGATCAAGAAAAATCAAAATTTGGGCGCTGACCACAGAGCTGAGGCAGACAGTTGAGGAGGGGGCAGGAGAGGGGTTCAAGAGAGGAGGGAGGAGCATAAGGGACAATGGTGATGGTGCATGGGTACTTTGGTGGGGGGAAACTTATGGGGATTGCTCCTGAGGGGAGAAATCAAATACTGTCCAAAAATTATCAGCGATATCAGGAAATAAATTAAGTAAGAAAAAAATCTTCCTGTTTAAAAAATGAAGAGAATTTGGTGGAATCTTAAAGTTACAATACTGGATTACATATTTAATAAAGCATTTTATAAAGTATTCTCTTTAACTGCCTTTTCATTATTTTGCTAGAATATTGCTGGATATGTACATTTTGCTAGCCTATTCACCCTTTTTTTCTTATGGTAGAGAGATTTTCACAATCGTCAATTAAAGAAAAACAAACATCACTGTTTTGGAAAATGTTCTCAATTTGTCTGGACACATCACCATTAGCAATGAGAAGGAAATCTTTTCCTAAAGAGATCTTTTGAGTAGCAAAAGGGAGACTTGGTGGTTACTTAGGAAGGTGAAAAGTGAGGAGGGGGGAGGGATAAGGCAGAAGTGACCTCACCGACACAGCGTGGGGGCATTTCACAGACAAGCCAACTGTGCTGACCTTGGGCAGGATGTCGTTAAATAGGATTTTTGTAGGATAGAATGGTTTGTAGAGAGGACTGTTGTGTTAAAGGCATGCACAATGAACATTAAACTGTGTCCCTGTAAAAGCATGTGTCTGGTGGCTTATCTCACCAACCTTCAGACAGGCAGTGCCTATGAAACCAGGCTTAGGTATTTAATAACCACTTAGGCAGTTAATAGTAAAGTAATTGTAATAGTGCTTTCTGAGACAGCTTAACACTTAATTTCTTTTATGCTAGCTGTAAATAAAATGTGAGTCAGCATTTGCTGGAAAAATTTCAAAAAGAAACTACTTTCATAGGGTTCAGAAGAAAACCATATTTCCTTCAGCATTCAAGAAAAATAACAGTCACCATATAATCTGGAAGATTCCAGAAGCTGAATGTCCTTGCTTTCCCAATGGCCTTCACCTTTTGCTCCTAGCACGACAGATTTTATGGCTAATTTCCGGCAATTTATCCTGGCAGTTTGAGGAGGAATTCCTTTGGGAATAATATGCATAATTTGCATAAATCATTCTGATAGCATGCATATCAGCATGTAGCTCCTGTCTAGGTCTGCATCTCTGCCTTCATAATCAAAACTGACTATGTTTTCACCAGCGTGAATGGGGCCTAGAATATAGAGGTTGATTCTTTCTAATCAGCAATGTGAAAAAGAACTCCAAATGGAGTTTCCTCCCCCCTTCACAGGTAACAAATAGTTGTGTTTATGGCTTGCAATTTAGACACACATACAACTCAGTTTCTTAGTATTCAGCAAAGCCTTGAAACATAGTTTACCCAATTATTAGGTCATAGAGACAGGTTAATCTGTAAGGGCTTGGGTCACCCAGAAAATAAAAATAAGTGCTATCCACTAAAATTCAAAATCTGTCACCTTGCAAAGGGATCTAAAGGAGCTTTGGGTAGCTTCTCCCAGGAGGTTTTTCCCTAAACATGCATTTGTCTAAAGAAATGCGGCTGTGGTCAGTTCTGTGTGGTCAGTGTGGTCATTCATTGTGATGTACAGTGGGGCTGTGCATGTTCTTTTGGACTGCCTTCGTGATTATAATCAAGCAGAGTCACATCAGTTCGTTGTGATGAGGCCAGAAAAGAACTTTGGTTTTTGAACTCTCTTGCAGGTAGCCACAAGGCACCTGACATGACAGATCTCAGCTGACTGGATACCAGTGACCAACACTTCTATGGTGAAAAGTGAGGGCTGGCTTTCCATGCTCTGCTGTCAGCTGTCTTGGATCAACAACAGCACAACATCAATTTAGCTTGTGGTGTGGAATGCAGTTGACATATGTAGCAGTGTTGTTCGCCTAACAAGTCCAGTAGGGGTATGGGAAGAAGAAATACCAAGGCAAGATTGTTGTGGGGCGTCTCTGTGACAAGGCAGGCATTTAACAGTCTGAAGAACATTCGGTGGAATGTTCTGACTGGCCTACGTGCTTGCAGGAAGCATGGCAGCTTGTGCCCACTGCAGTATCACAAATGACAACCGGGCAAGCTTATCTTCGGCAGAAGTTAATCACAATAATGGAGCACAAAGTGTGGCTTAGCGGTCAGATCATAAATGACAAATCTGTTTTACCTTCCAGTACCAGTTATGTGTGCGCGAGGAGGTTGGCTCACGCTCCGAGCCATCATGCCGATGATCATTAGACGCCAATAGTAATGAGCTGCGTTATTATCAACAATGGGTAGTGGAGATTCTGTGACTGTACTTCAACATACAGACACAAAAGCCAGCAGCTTTTCCACCAGCCTGAGTACGAATGCAGGCAGAGCTATATGTTGAGAAGAATGACAACTGCACAATAAAAAAAAAAAAAACAAAACTGCAGCCTCTAGTTGTCGTTGTCATAGTTGAGCAGACACCAGCCAGTGTCACTGACAGACCAGCTGGGCCCTGGGAGGACTTCCACGCTGCACCAGGAGGTACAGTAAATTATCCTGCACGGTAGAGCAACATCTGTTTCTGTGCTAGTGCCGAACAAACAAGGCAATTTAAAACATACCAAGGGATAACCAAGCAACAAATGAACATGACCCTCATTTTTTCCCCCCTTCTCACACACGAGGTGCTAAACTTCATTGTGCAAGCACTCCATGAAAGAGAGGCCAGGTTGGTATTTGATAAGGTGTTGTCAGAGAGATTTTACATATTTCCAAAATGGAAAGAAAAAGCTTATAGTATTGTTATTCTTAGAATCTTCCTTCCCCCTTCTATCTTCGTTTCTTTTATACCAAAGCTAGCACTCAGTTCTCAATTCGCTCTAGAATTAAAAAAAAAAAAAACTTTCCATATACTTATAAATATTCAGTCTTTAAACCTAATTTGCTATACTTAGTTCACATGCCTTCAAGCATTTGTCTTCCAATTTCCACTGAATAAATGCGTACTAATGAGAACTAGAGCAAGCTGCTGAGGCAAAGCTGGGTGACTTGGGTCTGGCCTGCCACCAGCTTGTGATAGGCGGGCAAATTGAGTTAAAATGAAAAGTCTTGTCAGCTGAAATTCAACATGGTAGCCAAACAGCAAGCTGTCAATCATCCAGCCAAAACAAGGGACTGCAGGTAATAAAAGGTCATTGTGATCATTAGTGCACTTGGCTTTCATATGCAAGTTAATTTTAATTAAACATGATCTCTATCTGTAAATGTTTTATAAAACTTATTGTGCATAATGGATTGTTAATTTATGCTAACATTTAGCAGGTAATAGGACCCTCTACTTATTAAATGCATTGTTCCAAAACGGCTATCAAGAATGCAAATATTTTGGGGATAATTTACACCAGGCACTGCAAGTTGCCAACAATTCCAGTTGTGATTAAAATAAGGTTGCCTGTGTCTTATGAAGAAATGAATTCTACTGACCTGTGTACTCTAAGAAACTGGATTGCAGGTTTCCTGCAATGAATGAGCAGCCTGTACAACCTTCTTCACCTGGCTAGGGAAGACTTGCTTCTCTTTTCATGATATAAAAACATTCTGATTAATTATCTTTTCAAAGCACAAAGCTGTGCTAAGAGGCGTCGTACTACAACTATGAAAGAAAATGGCAAATGAGAAGATATGGTAAGACATACAACTTCCTCCTTTGCTCTCACATCTCAAATCTGGTTGAATAAAGGACAGATGATTCTTATTTACAGATTTAAAGCACCGAAGCCACTTATGGTAATCGTTAATGCATGTTACAAGGCAGGGCCAAATAAGCACATCCAAGTTTCTGCCTCACTCTTAGGCCATGTCTGTATATGTGGAAAGAATGTACTGTGACATGGCCAGGCTGCTAATTTGGGTCATCTTAATGATTGGTGCAGACTGTCATACCATCTGATTAGTCATGGCGATCTGTGGAGAGCAGTGCAGGCTGCTGTGAAATGAACAGCAAGGACCTTCAGCAGCCGACTGGGGCTGAACACTTGGGTGGTCTTACAAAGAAGGTGGCTGAAAAAGGGAGATCTGGAGGTCTCCTGTTCACAAGGCATGCGGAAATAGAGTGAGGCTCCAGATGTGTGTTTATGTAACTGCCTTCAAGACAGGTGGGAAAGTAAATAAGAAATTGTAGTAGTTAGGTAATTTAAAGCAAAATAAATTTTGGCTTAGCAATTGTATGTTTTAAGTCAAGTGAAAAATCAATCTACATTGGTATGAATGCCTACTTTGACTCTTCATTGAAGACATGACCTTTGGTTTACTGTTAAAATAGAGAACTGTAAATTTAACATGCACATGTTCAATACATGTTTATTATGGCTCTACTTTGTTGCGGGTACTGGGCTTCTACTGGTGGAAGAAAAAAGAACACAGCATATGGATTAATCTTTATGGACACTGACCTCAAAGTTGGAAGGTTCATGTAAACAGGAATGTTCTCCAAAAAGATAAAGATATTGCACAATTTCTGATTGGATAACTCTAAAGAGGGCAAATTGGTAGAAAACTTTTTTCCAGACTATGAAATGTCCTTATTTGAATTTCTACCCTTTAGAAAACACAAAGATTAAAAAAAAATTCTAATTCTTCATCCATGTAACAGATCTTTAAAAATATTTAAAAATCTGTATCATGTTACTTTTAAGTTTTATGTCCGAGATGAAGATGACATGGCTTTCAATCTTTTCTCATTCTAGATGAATTCAGTTAGTCAATGTCCTTGAAGTGTAGCAAAACTGGATGTGCTATTGCAGTTGGAAAAGTAGAGAGGACCTACTTTCTTTGCCCAGGTACCATACTCTTAATAATATTTCTGGGAGCAGATGAACAGTAGATTT